CGTCATTTCCCCACTCTGCCATTCCCACTGTACAACTGTAGTGGGATTTGCTCTTTGAAGCGCCGCAAAAAACCTGCACGTTACAGAACGTAATCGTCAATACATAAACAAAGTGAGACAAATAACACGTATATTTTTAATAAATATTTTCTTACTGAGGGAGTTGTGCGAAGTTCTCTTCCCAAGTGTCATACAAACGGTTGATGGTTTTTTTCCTCCCGTGCCACGCCTTCTTATAGCTCACATCGACTTTCCAACATTTTTTGACATCCTCTTGGATCAGGGTAACACTGTACTCTGGTTTCTTTTAAATCTTGGTCATGATAAGATTGGAAATCATTGTGGCGTTTACATTTCTGTGGTCATTTTTTTCGACTTCTTGCATACAATTATGCCTCTCGGTCCATTCCGTTACTTCCCACAGTTCATGAACCCGTGTGCAGTGCGTCACCCGAGCCTTCCACGGACAAGGTTGAGCTTCGGCGGATTTGCAAATACACTCCCCCGTAAGAATGGGGAACATCCTCAAACTGTGTAATCACTGTAGGTGCCTGCGTAACCTGCTTCAACTCTAAATGCAAATACACATAGGAGAAAGCGGGAAAATAATATATCCACTGTAAAGCACTATCAGTATTCAAGTTTCCAATGTTCCACGAACCATCGGGTCAGTTAGTAAGTAAACTAATCCCCTCAATCATCCAACCATCTCGACGGAACCCAAAATCTTCATAAAGTATATCTTTAAGTTGTTGAAATGATATCTTCTCTCCAATGCTAAATGAACCACCCGGACGGTTTACAAAATCTGAAAATGAATCTAAAACCTCTTTGGGATGATTCCAATACACATTAACAAAATATGGTCCAGTAGACTCCATTTATACCTGTTAAAAATAAAATCACGAATTCTTTTAACAAATCCTAATACTCATAATCCATCAATAACATATAATACACTTTCAACCAAAAAAAATCAAAAAAAAAAAAATATTCCAATCAATTAATCATTCAAAACCCTAATACCTTATCGAACAATAACATAGAAATCATCTATAATTCCGATAAATTGAAACCCTAATTCTAACCCTAATTTCGAAAAATCCTGACCCCAACAACAACCAAACAATTACACAATTGACAATTTACACACAATATTTCAATATCCAATTCAACATACACACATAATCATTAATCAATTAGCAATTTCAAACTTCAAACACCACCACATTCAAACATATTACAACAATTCTCAATCTTCAATTAACACTAAACAAATATAAAAAGTTAAGATAAGTCAATATACCTCGTGCGAATGAATTAACCGGAAATAAGGCTCGTATCGCTATTGTCGATTCACGTCGAGGTGAGAATTGGATCGATTTTTTTGAAGTTTTTTTCGCTCTTTCTGTTTTTGCTCTCTGTGCTCTCTCCTCTGTTCGCATAAAATGAATGGAGAAGAAGAGATTTGTTTTTAATATGTTTTTAATGTAAAACGTATTTAAGGAATACATTTTTTTTGCATTTAATTGTAAAACGTATTCCTTAAATACGTTTTATTTAAATGTACTTTTCTATTCAAAAAAATTCTTTCTTTAAGACGTATTACTCGAGTACGTTTTACTAGAACGTATTTGAATAATACGTTTTTTATTTCTTTTTTTAATTTAACGAAAACAATTTTGAAAATTGTTTTCGTTTTTTTTTAATTAACACAGTTAAATAAAAACGTATTCAAGGAATACGTTTTATTAAATAAATTTTTTTTTTACGAAAACGTATTCAAGGAATACGGGCTTTTTATGTTTGTTCACTCACTTTTTTCTTTTTTTTTTGTCCACTTATTTTGTTGATTTTTTTTTTAAATAAATTACTCATCAACTAATGAAGCACATTCTCCAACTAAAATTTGTTGACAAATTGATCAAAAACATCATCACATGGAAAAAGCGTTAAATGTGTGCGAAAATATTCAAGACTAAATCATACATTGATTTGATAAAATCAAACTAACAATCCTGTTTCATTTACCATTTTCTCTCTTTTTGACAATTAAGACAGGTGAAAATATGGGTATTATCTTAAACCACATAATTATTTCAAAAGATAATGTGGATATTTCTAAGTTAAAAATTAGAAAGAGTGAAAAATGTCTCTCCTTGTTCTTTAGCACCTCCTATAAATATCGTATGGGTTTAAGCTATTTTAGCAACAACTCAATCTCTTGGCTTTTGTTATTTGATCGCAACAAAACTTTGAATTCCTTTTAAACTTTCCTTTGAGACTTGAGAGATGTCGAAAATCATATCTTCTCTTGTGCTAATGTTGCTATTTTGTTTCAATTTTCATGCATGTCATGCTCGAGTCCTCGATGAACTCCATGTTGCTCATTATCCCACATCCATCGAGGTTTGCTCTGTTAATTATTAGTTATCAGCTAGTTACTATATACTCGCCCATTTTTCATCCATAACTTTATTAATTGTCTCAAAATATATTTTAAATTGTGTGTTTTTTTTCCTTTATAAATGATCAATTATAGAATTCACAAATCTAAAAATCTTTCGGTACCACGATCTATACTGGATGACTGTTCGAACTCAGCTCGACTTGTTTAATAAGCCTAAAATCTCTAACGAACTCATGTTTTGCGAACAAGTTGGTTCAACTTATATTATAAGCAAACAAAAAAAAAAATATTAGAAAAGAGTTGTTCGCTCAACTCGTTTAATAAACGATCTCATCATGACTCATGAGCTGGATTGAGTTGTGTTTGCGAATTGTTCGTTTAACAGCACTAAGATTCTCTAGATATCAAGATCATAAAATGCAGATTCATGGTTATAATATTGTATGCAGAATAACGTTGGGGTGCCTACTTTTTCCACATCGCCAAGTGATGCAAAAAAGGGACCTGCCATTGAGGCTATGAAGCCGAGAGGGCCTTCAAGGGACGGTGGCCCTCATTAAAGTGGTGGCCCATAGAGACCAAATAAATATGGCCCTAACACGTCCCATGAGGCCATGGCTGCATTTTTTTTTTTTCCTTTTATATGTCTTGAAAAAAAAAATCAGTTTGTTGTTGTTGTCCTTTACATATGATAAGAACTAGGTGTTCGTTTTACTTCATAAATGTTGTTGTTAAGCTGTCAATTGTTATGCAGCCATACTTTTATATATTATGAATTCATACTTTTTATTTATATTATATTTTAGGAAAATGCTACAGTCCCATCACGGAACTATTCCGTCGCGATTTGTAACCGTTAGATCATCATGTAACCGTCGGGGATAGTTGATCTAACGGTACAAATGCCGACGGAATAGTTTAATAACGAGATTGTAGCATCTCTCTATATTTTATAGTACGATATTTGAGTATAAAAGTATGTACATGACTTGCAGAACCACTTCTTAACTAGTTTCTTTACTGCAAGTAATAAGCCAAGAAACCATTGCTTAACTAGATTCTTAAAACTTAAAATCATTTTGGCCAAATTCTAAACTCCAACCATTTTCTTTTGACCCACTTTGATTAAATATTTTAGTCATACAACAAGAAAATACTCATATTCAAGGATAAGTATCAACCAAAATCATTTTGTTTGAAAAAATTCAATGAATATTTATATCTGCTGCATAAAGATAAGATACAAAGTATCTATAATTCTTTAACAAATAGAACCATGCATTGAAAGCAAGAAACTTGATGAGAGATCACCATTTCTTAAAAAATGTCACATTGATTCATTTTATCAACATACAAATTACAAGCAACAAACAAACATATATCATAAATAAAAAACATTTCAACATTATTAATATAACCTTAATCAAGAACAAACGAAACCTCGTGGCACTTTCTTCCCGCACGAATTAACCGCCAGGCTCAAGGCAATCGGGACCTTATATGTAGGACTAATTTCTTAAATATAATAAAATCTTACATATGGGTGACAGGTGACTCATATTTTTTTAATTCGTACATAAGTTTATTTACGTGAATTTATGACTGGCTCAGGTTTTGTATAATTCGTACATATGGATGTATTTGTTTAAGTGCATAAATTAGTCACCCATATGAATGAGTCATATTTTGTATTACATAAATTTATTTATTGTAAAAAATAAGAGGAGAAAACAAATTTAATACAAAAAATATATTTTAAAATGAAGGAATAATTTGATAGATGAAAAAGAAGAATGCGTTTGCCACAAGAAAAACACATATATCGGTTTTGATGAGAGAGAAAATAAGCAAAAACTCATTTTGAGCTATGTTCTAAAAGTCGGCCTATGCAGCCGCCTAGGCGTTAGGCGGTACCCGGCCACCTCCGATTTGCATAAATCGAATCAAAAAATCTAGGCGGCGCCTGGGCGGACCTAAACGCTTCTAGGCAGGCTTAGCGGGCTCAACAGCCAGGCTGCACCTAGACGGACCTAGACGCCACCTAAGCGCTCCTAAGCAGCCTCGACAAAAATTTTTTATTTTTTTTATTTTTTAATACTAATTAATTATTTTGTTACCATGTTTTCTTTATAATATACTACTATTATTATTTGGACTTAGGTGTGTTGAATAGTTTTATTTTGTAGGTTGTAAAAACAAATAAAATATAAAGTATTTAATCTTAATTTATAGGCCCCGCCGTGGCACTAGTCGAGAGCCTAACGACTTCTAGAACACTAATTTTGCGTTTGAGTTTGCAGTTCAGTTGGACTCTTGCATTTTTTGCGCTTTAGGTAAAGCTTTGGTTGGAGAAGGTCTAAGAAGAATATGATTTAATTTTTAATTTTTTTTTTAACTAAACTCTTCCACAACTGGATGAAATGTAGGAGCTTTTACACAAGTTAAATTCCATTTTGTAGAGAAATAATAAAACATCCTTTTTGAAAGATATTTAAACATCCATTTAACACCACCAACCAAACTTTTAAAAATTAGAGAAAACAGGAAAAGATAATTTAGCAAGACTTGAACGAATATATACACTCAAAGCTCAAGCAATTGCCTTAAGTGGCTCGGCCGTGTCATAGCTAGTCGGGACCTTCTCATCCGACTCTTCAAAATAGTCAGCACGGACATTGTCAGCCAACATTAGAGCAACCAACCAGAAGAGGCAAGAATCAAGCGACAGAAAGGCCCCACCGCCTAGAATACCCGTTTTGGCCGTCGGGCATTTTGTTTCCAAATTGTGGTGCACGTTGTTCACACGGTGGCTATGCTCTTGGATCGTGGGCCACAGCAAGAATGCAAACGCTAGTAGGAATGTAGCCCTACAATTGGAAAAACCAAAAAATGATAACAATATAAATAATCAAACCAAAAACAAAAGAAAATAAGAAACCTCAGTCTTTTTTTTTTTTTTTTTTGGAACTTACGTGGCAACACTGAGAAATACGAGGAATCCCTTGTTCTGGAAGAAAGCCGCCCAGGGAACAGACTTTCCTTGGTAAGGGTGAAAAAGGGAAATACAACCAGCAACACCCGAGATAATAAGAAATGCAATGGACAAGTATCCTAAAGCCACAGATGGATCAGCTGGGTACTTGCAGATGACTACACCTTTCCCTGTTATGGGAATGCCGGCTGCAGGCTGAAAAAATTGTTCGAGCATATAATATTAATTTATCCTTTCTAAAAAATTAGATAGAGAAAAGAAGTCCATCGGTTCATTGTAACCAAAAAAAAATTGAACTGCATGATGTTTATATAGATTTGAAATCTGCACATATAACATAGTTCAATTTGCAATAACCTATCGTAAAGGAAACACTTGCTCCACTAATTTTCACTGGAAATATGTATTTATATAAGCCTTTGTGTCATCTGTTTGAACTAGAAAACTCGTGTAAAAAAGGCGAGAAGAAACATATGATTAACTTCAAACAGGCTAGGGTAAACAAAAAGATCACAGATGAATTATGATTTTGTTTTCAAATGATGTGTTAAGGTTTAGCTCATACAGGACGATTAGAACATACACAATCCATTCATTAGTTCCCACTAAAAAGCATTAAAGATAAAAGACATCAGTATCAGATGCAAGCTAGTCCACTCAGAAGGGTAAATACCACAAACCAACAGACCGAGAACTGGTATATAACTAAAGAGGGCATTCGACAACTTCCAGACTTGCTCAAGTATCATCACTAGCCCAACATTACTAAAGCTTATATCGATTTTTACGGGATTATTGCATAAGTAATCAAATTTCACTTTTGTGTACTGGACTTCCTAATTCAAAAAATTGCACACTCGATTTTCTTCTCAACCTAACATCATGAAGTTAACCGATCAATATAACCGAGAAAAACAGACTGGTCGAACTAAAAAACAGACACATCATACAATTCATCAATAAATGAGTAACAGCCATTCAACCCCAACAAAGTCTGAGAACAGTAGTTGCAAAGGGCACACGATATAAGCACCAAAGATCCCAATTTTACCAACACAATACCTTCTTGTTTTCAGCAATAACTCCAAAGACAAAGGACAAAATTCCAAGGGTTGCCACTATCAGAGACATTTGCTTGACGGTAAACGCCATTGCTCCGCAGGTTACCTATGAACAATTAGCAGCGCACAGTAACATATCAGGAAAAAAAAAAAAAAAAAATTGGATCTTGAAAAGTGAAAACATAAAAATTGGATCTTGAAATTAAAACGATGGCAAGAAAATATAAATACACAGCAAGAGTCATTAAAAATTGTAATTGCCTATGGCCCAGAATAAAAATATGATTGCAAAGATGAAACAGGTTTCTCTATTCTCTGTCTACGTACAAAAAAATTCAACGCCGGGCTGAAGAGAACGTGGTGAGGAAGAAGATTGGGGGCAGTGGTGTTTATAACTATTTATATTACGGCTGTTTGTTGAGTGCTGACTTTGTTTGATTAGTTTTTTAGGATTCTATTTCTATTTGACATGGTTTTCCGAGTGGGCTTGGGCTTCCCCCGTGCCATGTGCAGAAATAATGACACTCTCTATCTCTCTCCATAAACATTTTACACTCATAATCTTCTTCAATATTTAGACAAAATTATTCTTTTCTTTTACATATACACCCCTTTAATATGTGAGGCGGTTTTTATCCCCTTTAATATGTGAGGCGGTTTTTTATTCGTTTTGAATTTTTTATTATTATTATTGCAAAAAACTGCTACTCCTTTTATCTTTTTTCTTATTTAACATATAATAACTGTTATTTTAAAAAATTGTGACTGTTCTTTTTATTTTATTCTATTTCTCTCTTTCTTTTGTTTTACATGGATCTCTCTTCTTCTTCTTCCCCCTTTCTTCTTCTTCTTTTATAATTTCGCAAGTAAATAGAGTATGTAAATCCAGTGAAAAATCCAAATTCTTGAACACTATACAATGAATTATCATCACCCAAGGCATCATCCCCCATCCTACACCCAATCGTCATCCCCAAACCATCACCTCACATGAGCCTTCAACTGCCACCGCCCGACCTTGAGCCGACGTCGTTCGTAGGCGAGCCGAAGTTGCTATTCTTAGGCATTCATTTTGAAAAGACGAAAAAGAAGAAGAAACAGGAGAAGTGATGAGACATGTGAAATCAGATGAAGAAGAAAAGAGAGAGAAGAAATGAGAGAAGACATGGAAACGTGAAGAAAATAAGAGAGAGAATGAAGAAAGAGAAAGAGGATGGAGAAAATAATTAATTATTGAATTAATTATTAAATTAATTTTATGTAACTTCCCATTGTAACTGTTTATATTGTTTTGGAATGAATAAAGGAAATTTTGGACTTCTCACAAACCAACATTTTTATGTAAATGATTTTTAAAGAGTTGGTTATTTATGTAAATTTCCCCATGTGCCACGGAATGAATAAGGACGAATAAATGACGCCTCTTATCCCTTCAAAATTTCTATTTATATTATTACTTCTAATAATAATTAAGACAAATTGAGTCCTTTTGTTTCCAATATTACTCCTTTTCTTTTTTGCGGTTATTTTCTTCTTTAATTATTAATAGGGCCTACCACGATGCCATTTTCACAGAGCTCCTTGGCCGTGCACCACCATGTGTCCAATAATGGTCGTCCGGAGGGAATAGAGGAGATCAATCGAAAGCTATCGAGATCGAAATGAAGCCATCCGAACGGTTGAGCATTGAACACATGAAACGAGAGAGGCCATACGTGTGTGTCTCGGAGAGATGGTAACCATGCATGCATAAACTCGACGTAGACACACCTACACGTGAAAGTTCAAAAGTCTGGCCTCTAGGTCCTCGTCGAAGCTCGCCATGGTCTGACACAATTAACTCCGTTTGTATGCAACGCACAATCGATTA